TTTCTCCCTTTATGTCTGTTAGTATTTGTTGTATGTATTTGGGTGCTCCTATATTGGGTGCATATATGTTGACGAGTGTAAAATCCTCTTCTTGTGTTGATCCTTTTACCATTATATAGTGTCCTTCTTTATCTTTCTCTATGGCCTTTGTTTTAAAATCTATTTTGTCTGATATGAGTATTGCAACTCTCGCTTTCTTGTCATTTCCGTTTGCATGAGATATCTTTTTCCATCCCCTCACTTTGAATCTATGTGTGTCCTTTGCCGTAAGGTGGGTCTCTTGTAGGCAGCATATTGTAGGTGCTTGTATTTTTTTTTTTTTTTTTTTTTTCTTGCGTTATGCGGGCCTCTCACTGTTGTGGCCTCTCCCATTTGCGGAGCACAGGCTCCGGACGCGCAGGCTCAGCGGTCATGGCTCACGGGCCCAGCCGCTCCGCGGCATGTGGGATCCTCCCGAAACGGGGCACGAACCCGCGTCTCCTGCATCGGCAGGCGGACTCTCAAGCACTGCGCCACCAGGGAAGCCCGGTGCTTGTATTTTTAATCCAGTCTGCCACTCTACGTCTTTTGATTGGAGGGTTCAGTCCATTGACATTGAAGGTAATTATTGATATGTATGTATTTATTGCCATTTTAAACCTTGTTTTCCAGTTGACTCTGTTTCTTTTTTGTTCCTTTTTCTTTTTGTGGTCTGATGATTGCCTTTTATTTTATACTTGTGTTCTCTTCTTTTTGTTTTTTGTGAATCTATTGTATGTTTTTGATTTGTGGTTGCCCTGTTTTTTAAGTATGTTAACCCCTTCCTATATCTTCTTGCTTTAGACTTATAGTCATATAGGTTCAAACACATTCTTAAAAAAAAAAACACTGCATTTTCTTACTCTCCTTACCCACATTTTATGATTTTGATGTCCTTTTTTATATTTTCATGTTTATCCTTTTGCTGTTCTTTTGTTTGTCAGTGCTTTCACAAATAGGTTTTTGTTTTTGTTTTTGTTTTTTTTGATCTGTATACTGGCTACTTTAAGTGATTTACTTTCCAATTGTGATTTCCTCCTTTATATATCTTCTTGCTTCTTTTCTATCTAAAGAAGACCTTTCAATATTTCTTTTAGGTTAGGTTTAGTATTGCTGTATTCTTTTAGTTTTTGCTTGTCTGAAAAATTCTTTATTTCTTCTCCATTCTAAATGATAATCTTGCTGGGTAGAGTATTCTAGATTGCAAATTTTTCTCTTTTAAGGCTTTGAAAATATTTTACCACTCCCTTCTGGCCTGCAGTGTTTCTGTAGAGAAATCAGCTGATAGCCTTATGGGGTTTCCCTTGTAATTAACTCTTTGTTTTTCTCTTGCTGCCTTTAGAATCCTCTCTTTATCTTTAACGTTTGCCATTTTTATTATCATATGTCTTGGTGTAGGTCTGTCTGGGTTCGTCTTGTTTGGGACCTTCTGTGCTTCCTGTACCTGGATATCTGTTTCCTTCTTTATGTTTGGGAAGTTTTCAGCCATAATTTTTTCATATACATTTTCAATCCCCTTTTCTCTGTCTTCTCCTTCTTCAATCCCTATTATGTGTAGATTGGCATGCTTTATGTTATCTTATATTGCTTTCATTTTTTTTTCATTTGGCTTTCTGTTTGCTGTTTTGATTGGGTAATTTCCATTATTCTGTCTTCCAGATCACTTATTCTTTCTTCTGCATTATTCATTCTGCTATTCATTGCCTTCAGCTCAGCTTTCATCTTAGCAAGTTAATTTTCTAATTTTTCTTGGCTTCTCCTTATAGGTTCTAGTTCCTTTTTTACAGTAATCTGCATTTCTCTGATAGCCTTTCTTAATTCCTTCAGTGGTTTCATTTTCACGTCCTTTTTTTAAACATCTTTACTGGAGTGTAATTGCTTTACAATGTTGTGTTAGTTCACCTCTTTTTTGAATTTGGTGTCTGTTAGACTGAAGAGGTCTGTTTCATTGTTTGTTCCTTCAGGGGAATTCTCTTGGTCTTTTAACTGGTGGTGGTTCCTCTGCTTCTTCATTTTGCTTATATGTCTCTTACTCTGTGAGTTTAGGAGAAACAATTATCTACTGTAGTCTTGGAGAGCTATTTATATGCGGGAGCATCCCTACGTAACATGTATGGGTTTAATATTTTTTTGGTGTGAGGGCTGTTTTTGGTTTGGATGCTTGCTGTCTGTTTCCTTAGCGTGTGCTGGCCGTTATCCCCTTGACAGGGGGTGTGCAGGTGTGTGGCCCACGTGGGCTCCCGGAAAGGCAGGGGCAGTGTTTGGTGCCCAGTCAGGGGACCCTCAGTGGCAGCAACGGTCCATGCCCGCCTCTGGAGTCCAAGGTGGCAACGGTGGCTCGCACCTGCCCTCAGAGTTCCAGTAGGAGGTGCCCTACATGGAGAAAGAAGCTCCTATGGTGGCTCTGCCCCCTCTTTGCACGCCACCCAACAGTGGTGCCTTGTCTCTCTGGCGGGCCCAGGCTTCTTCCCATACTCCCTCGGTTGTGGTGAGCACACCCTGGCCCCCTCAGGCTGTCTTGACACAGCCAATCCCAGTCCTCTCCCTGGTCTGACCTCTGAAGCGCAAGCCCCAGCCCTCAGTCCCTGCCGCCAGTGAGGGGACTTAGTAGTGTGCAGAAACATTTCCTTTTTCACAGCTCCCCGCTGGGGGCACAGGTCCTGCCCCAATTCCTTTCTCTCTCTCTCTCTTTTTTTCTCTTGTCCTACTCACTGATGTGGAGATTTTCTTGCTCTTTTTTGTAAGCCTGAGGTCTTTTGCCAGCTTTCAGTAGGTGTTCTGTGAGGATCGTTCCACATGTAGATGTATTTCTGATGTATTTGCGGGAGAAGGTGAGCTTCCTGTCCTACTCCCCCACCATCTAGATCCGATCCTGTATTGTAAGTTTTCTGATGAGAAGTTTGCAGCCACTCTTAAATTTATTCCTCTGTACATATTTTTTTGGGGGGGGCAGCTGCTTTGATGATTTTTTTCTGGGGTTTCCGCAATTTGACTGTGATATACCTAGATGTGTTTCTCTTTGTATTGATCTTGCTGGGGATGCTGTAAGCTTTTTGAATCTCTGGTGTTTTTGTCTTGCATTAATATTGGGAAAGTCTTAGCAATTATCTCTTCAGATAGCTTTTCTCCCCTGTTCTTTCTCTGTCCTGCTCTGCCTCTCTCTCCCCTTCTCCCTCTGCTCCTCCTCTCTCCCTCTCCTCTTTTTTCCCTTTATCCCTTTCCTACTTCTGGGACTCCAGTTGTCTATACTTTAGACAGTGTGATATCATCCCATACTCTCAGTTGCTCTTTTCTCTCTCTCTCCCTCTTTCACTCCTTCTTCTCTTTATTTTTCCCTTTGGATAATTTTTATTAACCTAATGTTCCGTTTCACTTATTCTTTTCTCTTCTATGTCCAGTCAACTTATTCATTTCTGGTAATTAAAAATTTTTTTTTAATTTTTAGCAGTTCTGTTTGTGCCTTTTTTAATAGTTGCCAACTTTTTGCTGAAATTGCCTATCTGTTCAACATGTCCACCTTTTCAACTAAATCTTTTAAGATGTTAAACTTGGTTATTTTAAAGTCTTTGTTTGATAGTTCTAACATCTGGATGGGTCCCCTTGGTCTGGTTCTGTTAACTACTTTTCTCTTTATAATGCGTCATTTCTTTTTCTTATTTCTGTGTCTATTAATTTTTTTTTTTATTGAATGCGTGACCTTGTGTGTACCAGGATAGTAGGGACCGAGGTAAATAGCGTTTATGCCTAGAAAAGGGCATGCCTTTTATGCTATCAGGTCGTTAGTGTGGAGTGTTGAGTGTTGAGTCAACCCACTCCCGTTGAGGCGGGCTGGGACTACGCACACTGCCTGCCCTACTTCCGCAACGCGCAGGCGCACGAGCTGGGCGCCGGGAGGTACCGCGGCGGCAACGGTCCCCTGCGGGTGTCCCGGGGCAAGAGCGGCCACCCGCTGCACCGCGCATTCATTTTAGCTTTTAGGAGGCCTTGCTGCCTCTTTCTCCTGTGCCTGCAGGAATGGGGGTGGTGGTTGGGGTGGAACCTTTCTCTCCACTCTCACCTCTTAGTCTGCCTCCAGTGATAGGCTGCTGCTATTACTTGATATAGGCTCGTGGAAGGGGTCGAGGGACTTATCAGTGTTTTCCTGAGGTTTTCCAGTTCTCCTGTTGCAGCCTCAGTCTTGGGTGGGCCTTGTGTGCCTGAGCCTCATGGGTGGGGCTTTCTCAGAGGTTCCTGTGTCAGTGGAGGTCTTGATGGGATATCTCGGCTCTTTTCCACCTCTGTGCACTGAGCATGTTGGGATTAATATGAACATTGTTGGGAAAGGATCCTCCAGGAGTTACTGGTGTTTGTTAAAACTCCAGCACTCAACAGAGTGATCTTGAAAGATTGTAGCTCTGACCCCATCACCTGCTGGAAAGCCCTCTCATGCACTCTGGGGCCCTTAGGTCAAAGGCTTTGAGCTCTTTAGTCTCCAGCCTCTCATCCTGACCTTCCTTTGGTTATTTATGTAAGTCTTGTCTGTCTCCCTAGTCCCAGACCATCAGTTTTGAGATCAGATGCCTTGTTTTCTGAGTGTTGCTAGAGAGGAAATGGTGCCTGGCATGTGGTAGGGACTCAGCAACTGTCTTACTGTCTTGAACAGATTAGGAGTGAGGGTAAACCTGGAAAGCCCCTGCTTTCCAGCAGGTAGACTCCTGCCCGGCCTCCGGGTTCATGCACAGATGTCACAGGGAAGCCTTTCTGGGGACCTCCCCGCTCCAGTGCCCCCAGCCGTGTGCTCGTCGATCACACAGGACTGATATTCCTGCTTGTGCTTCGGCTCGTTCCTCCTGGTTCCCCAGGGCAGTGACGTGCCAGCCAGGCCTGCCCCACCCAGCGCCCGGCAGGCACCTGGTGGGCCTGCAGGGATCCTTTGCTGCCCTAGCTTTGGGCTGATTCTGCAGTGCGTGCTGAGTTGAACTTTTCAAAGCCTCTTTTTCTGTTTTAGGGAAAGTGAATCATCACATCCCCCCTGTGGAAGTAAGAGGACTTGGGCTGGAAGCATGTGGTGCATCCTTCGAGGCTGGAGGCGAGGGAGCCTGGGCCCTTGGGGAGCCCTGGGGCAGCACTGGCCCCGGGGCATCCATGCTCTGGCCAGCGAGCGCCCCCGGATTGGGGGTGAGTACAGCCACGTGGTGGTGGGTGCGGGCTCCGCTGGCTGCGTGCTGGCCGGCCGGCTGACGGAGGACCCCGACAAGCGAGTGCTGCTGCTGGAGGCCGGGCCCAAGGACGTGTACGCGGGGAGCAAGCGGCTCCTGTGGAAGATCCACATGCCCGCAGCCCTCGTGGCCAACCTGTGTGATGACAGGTACAACTGGTGCTACCACACGGAGCCGCAGCCGGGCCTGGACGGCCGCGTGCTGTACTGGCCACGTGGCCGGGTCTGGGGCGGCTCATCGTCGCTCAATGCCATGGTCTACGTCCGCGGGCACGCCGAGGACTACGAGCGCTGGCAGCGGGAGGGCGCGGCGGGCTGGGACTACGCGCACTGCCTGCCCTACTTCCGCAAGGCGCAGGCGCACGAGCTGGGCGCCGGGAGGTACCGCGGCGGCGACGGTCCCCTGCGGGTGTCCCGGGGCAAGAGCGGCCACCCGCTGCACCGCGCATTCCTGGAGGCGGCGCAGGAGGCCGGCTACCCCCTCACCGAGGACGTGAACGGCTTCCAGCAAGAGGGCTTCGGCTGGATGGATATGACCATCCACGAAGGTATCGCGAGGCCTCCGATTCCCCATCTCCCAGGTTCCTCCTCTAAAAACGAAACGCTACTCTATCACAGTCCCGACCCTCCTGTCCCCACCTGTCATGGTCAGTAAGTGTGGACAGACTGGGGCTGGTTTGAGGTGGAGGGGATGTGACGGATTACACTGGCTACAGGCCACAGAATACCATTCAAAGCCAATGAGAAGTGACTCGGAGATGGTGACCCCTTGGGCATCCTCTGGGCCTTGTTGGTGTGGAATGAAGAGGCAGCTCTCCGGCCACACAGCCCCAAGTTTTAAAGCCTTACAGATGGGCGTACCGAGGCACAGAGCAGTGACGGGCCTTGCAGCAGGGCAGAGGCAAGGCCCGGGTGGACCCAGGGCTCTCATTATCAGCCGCTCCTGGTCTCTGTCGTCCTGTCAAGGGTGAGGGATGTTTTCGCACCTGCATCCAGGGGCCCCAGGTAGATGTGGATGTCAGTTGGACAGGGTATTTTGGTCTCAGCCTTCCTTTGAAGGCAGAGCTTGCACAGTCGGGGGAAGGGCAAATTCCCTCTTTCTGCAGTCCTTCCCTACCTCCCCCTCCACGATAGGTGCCTAGGGAACAGGCTGGGGCTGTGACTGATCTCCTTGCTCTGTCCTGCAGGCAAGCGCTGGAGCACGGCCTGTGCGTACCTGCATCCGGCACTGAGCCGCCCCACCCTCACGGCTGAGACCCAGACACTTGTGAGCAGGGTGCTGTTTGAAGGTACCCGTGCAGTGGGTGTGGAGTACATCAAGAACGGCCAGAGCCACAGGGTGAGTGAATGACCACCACATGGGCAACTCACATGGCAGGGAGGGAGTGGGCAGTGACCCCGTGGTCATGCTCAGTCAGTGTGGGTGGGCAGTGTGGTGTGAGTCATGTCCTTGTCTCCATCAACATGATGATAAGGAGTGAGCGGCTGGTGGCAACAGCCTGAAAGACTGTCCCCAGGAGGTGGTGGCCTGGCAGAGGTGGGGAAGCCCCAGTCTAGCCACCTGCAAAGGGCCCGTGGTGCCTGGGCATGAGTGCCCCCCATGAACCTCTTTCCTCTGTTGCCTTCCACACTTGTCCAGAAATTGATAGGTTTATATTAGAGGCTTTAAAAACCATACCTGTAATCACACTCCCTATTTCTGCACTGTGCTGTTTTCCACTTAGCATGTGGGGATTGTTCTGCATCCCACATGAAGATCTTGCTCACCGTGTGCTTTATTTAAACTGCTTGTTTGAGTGCCTGCTTCCATTTATCTCATTTAAGCTCTACAGTCCTGTTTTTAAGACCATCGTTACTGTCAGGCTGTTGCAGAATATATCAGAGTATGAACCACACTTGATTTATGATCACACACACCCACAGCTGCACGTGTGGGCTACTTTCACCTAGTGGCGCCCTGAGCATCCTATTCCTTGCTCTGGAGCCTGTGGGCAGGATCCCCACCCACCATGTGGGTACGTCATGCCCAGGCCATACTCTTGGGGTTCTGACTGGCTTTTCTGGGAAAGTGTGACCTGCATGGCCCCTCGCCTCTTCCAGGCTTACGCCAGCAAGGAGGTGATTCTGAGTGGAGGTGCCATCAACTCTCCACAGCTGCTCATGTTGTCAGGCGTGGGCAATGCAGACGACCTCAAGCAACTGGGCATCCCGGTGGTGTGCCACCTTCCTGGTGAGCTCCCTTCCCCACTGCGCCCCGAAGGTGTCCCTGTTAAATAAAAGTTTATTATATTTTATTAGCATGGAGTGGGGAGGGGACAGGAGTCAGGGCTCCTCAGAACTGTCACATTGTTCCCGCGAGCCTGAAGGCCCCCCAGGCCTCGCTGGACTCCTACCCCCAGCGAAACCCCAAGCTTTTGTGTTGTTTTCCTCCCTTCCCCAGACATCCCATCCCTCTCAGCAGCGAGGCACCTCTAGCAGGGAGCATCTGCCCGTAAAGCCCACTGGGCCAGGCTCAGGCAGGTCAACGGGGCAGCCGTGTGGCAAGAGGGGTCCGGGCCTTTGTGTTTTCCATCCTCAGGACACACCAGCTACCCTGACATGCTGTTCATGTTCATATGGTTCTCCCAGGCCTAATATTCATTTCATAGACTGTTGGTGATGCCCTTTGGAGCCGGGCCCTGTCCCTCTTGCCCTGTCTTACAACTCAAGCTCCCAGAGCTTGAAGCTTTATCATAAGAGGTCTTTGAAAGTGCTGGTCCATGACAGTGACCTGCCCAGTGTCCCCTTGAGCTTGGATGGGCTCATGCCGGGTCTGCACAGCATGACAGGCCTGCTTCCCTCCTTCCCCAGGCCAGGGGTGAGGGTGCAGGGTCAGCCATTCCGGGACAGCTCACTGAGTGGTGCCAGCTGGAGGCGTGGGCACTGCCCCGGTAGAGGGTGCTGCCTAGCAGGAAGGCACCTGGATGGTTACAGGTGCTGCCCTGGGAGCGAGTGTCAAGGGCAGGCAGCTTTGGCAGCATCTGAGAGGGCCAGACATGGCTGGGAGTGAGGGAGTGGTGTCCCTGGGAATGAGCATGAGCTGGCCTGGCAGATAAGTGGGTGGAGGAAAAGTTTTCAAAACCGGGGGATGTTGAGAGGCCAGCTAAGCCCCTTTGGGAGACATTTTCCTAGCTACCCGCTCTGGTTTCAGGAGTTGGCCAGAACCTCCAAGACCATCTGGAGATATACATCCAGCAGGCGTGCACCTCCCCCATCACCCTCCATTCAGCACAGAAGCCCTTGAGGAAGGTCCTGATTGGCCTGGAGTGGCTCTGGAAGTTCACAGGTGGGTGTGCTCATCCATGACTTTGGGAGAGATGTTCTGTGCGCAGCACAGCCTCCCTGCTGAGACGCTTAGCCCGGGCTGTGGCTCCAGATTGCTGGTTCAAAGCTGAGCTATATGCCATTTATTTCAGCTCTCTGAGCCTCAGTTTTCCCATCTGCAAAATGGGGATATGCCGTTCCTGTGTGGCAGGTTGGTGTGAGGACCAGACGCGATACACAGGGCTTGCCCGGGGTGAGACTCTGCAGGGGCTGGGTGCTGCCCTTCCCGATGGATGGATAGGTATGGCCTCATCCTGGACACTGCCTGGGGCCCAGGGGGCCAGGAGAAAATGCAGAGAAAGGGCACTTGATGCTGGACTACAGCTTCTGTTTCTCAGCATTTTCCATGCGGTTTCTAGCTGGGTCTCGGCGTACTGGGCTTGGCCAGGAAGTAGTGCTTGGAAATCTTACTCACTCAGCATTTCTCGCGCACCTACCGTGTGCTGTGCTACGTGGTGAGGAGTGCTAATAAGGCAGGTTTTCTTAGGGGGTTTACGCTCTAGTGGAGACAATGGAAGGAAACTCAGTAAACATGCTAAGTTTTAAGTACAGTGAAGGAATAATTTAAACTAGAGAATGGTGGCAGCGGGTCTGTTTCTTAGGCAGGAAGAATACGTGCAAAGGCCCCGGGGCTAGGCATTGGGTGTGCCTGAAGAATGAATTTGTTGGGCCAGGGAGACTGCAGCACCTTGAGGAGGAGGCGGTGCAGCAGGTGTTGCAGGGCCTTCCAGGGCCGGAGAGTAAGCTCTTGTCCAACACTCGGAAAGGAACTGTCCGATGAGACACACGTACTGACAAAGCAAACGACTTTATTGGGAAGGAACCCCAAGGCACAGAGCCTGGGGGAACCCAGGAGAACTGCTCTGCCACGTGCCTAGCAGGCTCAGGTTTTATGGGAACGGGGTCAGTTTCCGGGTTGTCTCTGGCCAGTCATCTCGCTTGGCCCGTAGTCTGACTCAGGGTCCTTCCAGGTGGTGCGTGCGTCTCTCAGCCAAGATGGATTCCAGCGAGGAGGACTCTGGGAGATTGGTCTTCTCCTCCCTCTTTTGCGCCTCCCGAATTCTCCTGGGAGGTATGTTAGCTTTACTGTTGAGACTTCTCGTTTTGATGCTAATGCCCCTCAAATTATGAAAATTATTAATATTACTGCCGTTACTGAAATAAATGAGCCTATGGATGAGACAGTATTTCATGTTGTGTATGCATCTGGGTAGTCGGAACATTGTCATGGTATTCCAGGTAGACCTAGGAAATGTTGTGGGAAGAAGGTTATATTTACAGCTACAAAGTGAATTTTTGCTCATGTTGAGTTGAGTGTATAACCTGAGAGAATAGTGGGAATCAATGTACGAAGGCTCCCATAATAGTGAATACTGCTCCTGTTGATAATATGTAGCGGAAGTGTGCGACTACATAATGTGTATCGTGAAGGACAATGTCTAGTGATGAGTTAGCTAGGACAATTCCTGTTAATTCACTTACTGCAAAAAGGAAAATGAAGCCTAGGGCTCGTATTATGGTGGGAGATCATTTGATATTACCTCCACGAAGGGTTGCTAGTCAACTAAATACTTTTGCTCCTGTGGAAATAGCAATAATTATAATGGCTGATGTAAAATATGCTCGTGTGTCAACATCTGTACCTACCGTAAACATATGGTGAGCTCATACAATGAATCCTAAAACTTCGATTGATATATGGCTCATACTTACCTATATATCCAAAAGGCTCTTTTTCCTGAATAATAATTTACAATATGTGAGATTATTCCAAGTCCAGGTAAAATCAGAATATAGACTTCAGGTTGTCCGAAGAATCAGAACAGGTGTTGATATAAGATTGGATCACCGCCCCGCCCCCCGCACGGCGGGGTCAAAAAAGGTTGTGTTTAGGTTTCGGTCTGTTAATAGCGTAGTAATCCTGGCTGCTAATACAGGTAATGATAATAGCAGCAATACAGCTGTAATTAAAACTGACCATTACAAATAGTGGTGTTTGATGTTGGGGTACAGTGCGTGGCTTTATATTAATAATTGTAGTAATAAAATTAATAGCACCTAAAATTGAGGAGACACCTGCTAGATGTAGGGAAAAGATAGTAAGGTCTACTGAAGCTCCAGCATGGGCTAGGTTTCCAGCTAAGGGTGGATATACAGTTCAGCCTGTACCGGCACCGGCTTCAACTATTGATGATGCAAGCAGTAGTAGGAAGGAGGGCAGAAGTAATCAGAAGCTTGTATGATTCATATGGGGAAAGGCTATATCGGGTGCCCCAGCATTAGTGGGACTAGTCAGTTTCCGAAGCCTCCAATTGTGATAGGCATAACTATAAAAAAAATTATTACAAATGCATGGGCTGTTAGAGGTTCATTGTAAATCTGATCACCTCCTAGCAGTGTGCCAGGTTAGCCTAATTCAGCATGAATATACAGGCTTAAGGCAGTGTCTACTATTCCAGCGCAAGCACCAAACAGTAAATATAAGGTACTGCTATCTTTATGGTTAGTTAAGAATCGTCAGCTATTTATGAATGTAGGTAAAATGGCTGAGTAAGCATTAGACTGTAAATCTAAAGACAGGGGTTGAGTCCTCTTTTTGCCAAGCGCTGTGGTGAATTTTACATATTGTGTTGCAAATTCAGAGAAGCAGCTTCAATTCTGCTGGGGCTTCTTGCGCTTTTTTTTTTTTTTTTTCTTTCTTTCAGAATCAATCTGGATTCTGAATTGTTTGTATAAGACTTTTATTTACCTTCTTAAATGACAAATGTAGCCAAATATTTTTGTTAGGAGAATTACTAAAATTACTCCTCAGGTAGAAACATTTCTCTCTGCAGTGCTGGGTCATTTGATTTTCGAAGTTTAGAATTCAAAAAGACCAAGTAGGAAGAAACTTTAGATTCTCATCCAACTTTTAGATTTTATGCAATTGAAAATAAAAAGCCAAAAATGTAAGATCATTTGCCAAAAGCCATGCATTTATACTTTTCAAATGATTATTTATATTAATAATGTTGTTAACAAGATTAAATTAAGCTATAGCCAAGCTATAGAGTACAGGCAGTGTCCTAGGGTTAGGTTTGGTGAATAAATTCAGAGAAGCAGCTTCAATTTTGCTGGGGCTTTTTGCGCTTTTGTTTATTTTTTTTTCTTTCTCTCAGCAGGAGAAGTAGATGGAAGCCAGTTGACTAGGGTATTTAGGTGTTAACTAAGTTTCGTGGGAAATGTAATCCCCCCAATCTAGTGAGGATTTAGCTTAAAGTGTTGATTTGCATTCAACTGATGTAGGATATAGTCTTAAAATCCTTATTGAGCAGGAATTAAGTAACTTATACTTGCTTAGTGCTTTGAAGGCTCCTGGTCTGTGTAACCTAAATTCCTAGTCCAATACTGAAAGGATTGGTGTAAGGGATAAGAGTATTGTGGATATTACAGTCACTGTTGGTAGGAAAGTTGTTTTGTCAAATCACATTGGCATTTCACTTTTAGATTATTCATAGAGGGAAATCTAGTTAGTGCTGTAGAACACGTGAGTTGTCTGTACAAGTGTAGATTGAGTAACGCTGTGACAGCTATTAGTGTGGGTAAAATAATATTGTTATTTTTTGTTTTTTCTTGAATGAGTATTCATTTTGGCATAAATCCTGATAGTGGAGGAAGACCTCCTATTGATAATAGGGTGATGAGAATGAGGGTTGTAATAATGGGCATTTTATTTTGTGTGTGGTAGTGTGGTGGTGACTGAGCTGTAAATGAATAGTATGAATATGGTTAAGTGTTGTTACGATATATATTAGTAGGTTCAGGATTGTTATAGTTGGGTTTTACGATATAATGGCTGTTACTCACCCTATGTGAGCAATTGATGAATAAGCTGTAATTTTTCATTGTTGGGTTTGGTTTAGTTCACCTCATCCTCCGATTATAATAGATGGTATGGATATGGATAATATTAGGTTTAGGCTGATGGATGGTGAGATTTGGTATCATACTGACAAGGGTGCAAGTTTTTGTCATGTTAATAAGATGAAGCATGCTGTTAATGAGATGCCTTGTGTAACTTCAGGTACTCAGAAGTGGAATGGAGATAGTCCTGGTTTTATGGTTAGGGCTATTGCTATTACTATAGATGCTGTTGGATTAAAGATTTTTGTAATAGTTCCTTGGCTGGAGTATATTAGGTTAATGATAACGGCTATTACAAGTAATATGGATTCGGTAGCTGTGTTAGAAAATATTTAGTGGATGCCTCTATAGCTTATGTGGTAAACTTTTTTTTATTGTAATGCGAATAATGGCTGGTATATTTACTTCAAAACCGATTCAATTAAGTAGTCAGTGGGAGCTTGTTATTACAATTATGGTCCCTGAGATAATGGTTGTTAGGATGATGAGAAAGATGATGGAGTTTAATAGTACGAGAAGGATATAAACCAACATTTTCGGGGCATGGGCCCAATAACTTATTTAACTGACCTTACTGTATATTATGGAGTAATGTGGTAGCACGAAGAATTTTGAATTCTTAAGCGTAGGTTCAGTTCCTATGATTCTAGAAATAAGAGCGTTTAAACCTCTATAGCTTATTCTATCACAGTAAGTCTTTTATCAGACATATTTCTTATGTTTGTGGAGGAATGCCTGATGTTATAATAGGTAGTGAGACATGTCCTATGCATATGGCTAGCGTTAGTAGTCAGAAGTTTTTTCAAAGTAAATGTATTAGTTGATCGTATCAGAGTCGCGAGTAGGATGCTTGAATTCATAGGAAAGAAATTGTTAGTAATGGTGTTTTGATGATAAGGTTGATTTTGTATAGTTCTGGTATGTAGGGGTTATGGAACGCTCTTAGAAATAGGATTGTTGAGAAAATGTTTATTATGATAATGTTGGCGTATTCTGCTAAGAAGAATGTGACAAATGGGCCTGCTGCATATTCTGTGTTGAAGCCTGATACAGGTTCAG